TGTGACAGGACAAGAGGTAATGGTTTTAAACTGAAGGAGGGTAGGTTTAGACTGGATATAAGGAAGAAATTCTTTACAATGAGGGTAGTGAAACACTGGAACAGGTTGCCCAGAGAGGTGGTGGAGGCCCCATCCCTGGAAATGTTCAAGGCCAGGTTGGACGGGGCTCTGAGCAACCTGATCTAGTTAGCGGTGTCCCTGCTCACTGCGGGGGGGTTGGACTAGATGACCTCTAGGGGTCCCTTGCAACCCAAAACATTCTATGATTCTGTGATTCACTTAGCCCATCACTTCATCAATGTCTGTTCAGTAGTTCTCAGCAAAGCACCATGACCTTGAATTTCACCTTGGCTTTCAGCACTGATCAGACATATGACTTGTCCTACCATTTCAACTATACTGCATTTTAGTGTTTTGCACTTTGTAATTTTATGTAGATGCAACCATTTTGGCTTTCTGCCACTTACTGCGAGTCTAGGCAGAGCGTGCCAACAATAACGATACACTTCATGATAGCAAATGTCTTTAATCCAAATATGTTTGCTAGAGCCCAGTGTCAACAGCATAAACTAAGGAGTCTAATGCTACATGATCCATAAGTAACATTTTCAAATCCATATCTTATCTTTAAAGTCCAGTTAAGGAACATGATGAAAAAACCAAGGTTAATCCTGTATATTTTTATTCTCCCACCAAACACTGATTTGAACCAGTTGTTCAAAATCCCACCCATTCTTAGACAAACATTCAGAAAGTGCTCAGGTAAATAATGTACATGACTAAGTAGTTTCCCCATTAAACAACTAACATAAAATGCTTAAAAATGTAAGAAAGCATAGCTTGTATCTATATAGATATTAAATACGTACATATATTAATATACATAATCATGTACATTCTTAAACACGCTTATAACTAGCTTGTATGAAGTTAGTGCAAATCCTGAACTGGGTTACCTGCTGTATCCAAATAATCTCAAAAGCAATTCTCCTAGTGATGAGTACATGAAGCTTCTTTTCTACAGCAATATAACAACTGTACTATTAATAATAGGATTGTACCATAGTACGCAACACTGATATTATAATCATATTGTTGTATTGTGACTGCAGTGCTCAATAAAAAGCAACAAATTTGGAATGAGCCTAAGACTCTGAGATTACCTTCCCTAACGGTGTACATCACTCAGCACTTTGTGAGTAACAAGGCGAGCAGCAAACATCTCAAACCGCAATTGCTTCATACCACTGTAACCTGATGTCGTCCTTCGCCTGCTGGTCTGTTTATCCAGGGTTTCTAGGCTGCATGCATTTGAAAGAGACGGCAGGATTTGGCACTCAACTGGAATGCACCCTTCATACTTTCGACACCATCTCATATTTCACTGCCAGTTCTCAGGAACCCTTTTTGCTTTTGTGTTACAGGTCCGGCCATATTGCCGTACAGCTTAGCCCTTGCCTGTGTTGAGTAATGACGTCTCCAGGCTTTTTGGCTTCTTCAGCACTTCACACAATGCTTGTACTTGTTCGACTTCTCCAGAAGTTCTTGAATCACTTAGTCTCTGTAACTTCAAGTTTTACTGCTTGTCCAACTTCTCCATGGTTGTTTAGGCCTCTCGTAGTGCTCAGGATCAATTTGCGTTTTCCACCCACTCTGCAGAGGGATATCTTTGGCATTACTCATTATTTATCTGTCATGTTGTCTCCATGTTACCTTAGCTACCCCCTTTGCAGAGCTCTCCTCCTTCTTATCCAGATAACATCAGGATTGATTTGCACCTAGTTTTTTTTTTTTTTAATTTTACCATAACTTTCCCCACAACTAATTCAGTTTAGCTAAGTGTTTATGTCTTCATGAGGGAAACAGATATTGTCAGCAGTCAGATCTGTATCAGCCAAGATACCCTCCTTGGGAACTGCTCCAGCTAGCAGGTCACAACGATTAACATAGGCTGAAGTAGAAATCACAAACTGGAGGCTACAGCTTACCTGTATAAATAGTCTTGCTCTGTTGCAAAGGTGTCAGCTGTGTTTAAAAACCAGCATTGGACTGATTTAAAAAGAGAATATCAGTAGTAGTAGAAATATTACATGTTACTGACACGGCGTTCAATTAAAGAGAGCCAGCGATACATCACATAATCAGCTAGTGTCTTGGTGGAGTTTGGGGAAAATGGTTCAGCAAAGGCCCGTAGCAATGGTTTCCCTTTTCTAACCCTGTATTTAAACAGTGCTTAAGCTCCCAGCTGTTTTCCAACTTTTGTCTGTTCAGTAACAGAGAAAAGAAGTTTTGATATAATGGAAAAAGCCATTAACAGGTTAACTTTCAACTTTGCCTTGAACTTCTTAAATGACTGATTAACTTACTTCCTGACAGTTTATAGAAGAAATGAGGGTTGTAAACAGGACTGCTTACTTCTTTCTTATCACTTAAGTATCTGTTTAATTTATTCATCACTCACACACTAACCACCTAGAAACAATGCAGGGTGAAGTGCTTGTAACCAAGAATTCCACCAAGTCATGCACTAGAGGAGAATCGGGATAAAGGCCAAGAAACCACTCCATCCTCCTTAAGCCCTAAAAGTGCAGTCTACAGTTCAAGTGCTGCCTACAGCACTCAAGCGAGTGGCTTTCAGTGTCCCACGAGCATGACACTCATGAGTGAATGTGTACTGGATGGGACTTTTGTATACCATCGTCTAAGAGTTAGAAGAGGAATTGACTTAGGAGTTTGTGTGGCAGTTTATCTAAAAACAGAAACGCGGAGCCCTTTCCTACCATGATACCTGGTTTAAAGCAATGAGGTTTTACTGAGGAGGCACCGCCGCCTTTGGCCCAGGTCACTAAGAAGCAACCAGGTGGCCCTGTCCTGCTGAGCCTGGGTAGCTCCTCACAGGCTTCGGTGATAAGGGCACACTGCTATGCATAGTAAAAGCAGAGAGGGGAGGGATGAGGTAGTGTTTGCATCCAGTCACCTTTGCTTTTCCAGCCCAATGAGTAGCTTCTCAGTTTTTTTTCTGGATCATGAGGAGAACACTCTGGGGAATTCCAGGACAAGGCCTGAATTTAGCATCAGATGTAAAACATCTCTGAGCTTCTCTGAGCACTTGGCCAACATCACTGTCACTGGGCTGGTTTAAAAAAAAAAGGTACCTAATGACATCTCTTCTCAGTCTTCTCTGCAAGCTAACACAGCCTTTGACAAACCCCAAAACACCACCATTTTGTATGGCAGAGATAGAACAAAAAAAATAATATTAGCTCTCAGGAATCTGCTTCAAAGATGGAGCCATTTCTGTATTCTCCTCTATTCCTTTCAAACTTAGTGAAAAGATATATGAAGAATTACATGATGGTTGACCCTTGGCATAAGAAAAATATGTTACTGCATTGTTTGACAGGAAGGAAAATTGCTTCCTCTCTGTGTAATATTGTCCTCGTCATTAAAACAACCTGCTGTATTATAGTGTTTCTCTGTAGCAAAACCACTTTCCATGTCTCTCGAGCTGGCTGTGTTAATGAAAAGCTTTCTATTTGCCCTTGATGCGTGGGATGTGAGCCTACTAATTATTCAGAAAATAAATTCCTTCTTTTAGTGTAATTCTCTGGTCTGCATAATCACACTTTTGGGTCCTACTTCTCAGCACTGAGCCAAAGGCTGGTTAAAGTGGAAGTATCAGGTGATGGTTCAACAGGACGGTCTCAGTAAAATTCCTCTTGCTCTTTACATGGAATGTCAATGATGTTTTAGAATCCTTGATTACCCCCTCCTTGAGCTCTGAAAAGTCTACAGAAAAACTCCGATGCCAAAGTTCAGTGTGGTGTTTACCACAGCTGTAACAGGGAGAAGCAACACTAGAAGCACCCAAAGGAAAAAAAAAAAAAAATAGACTATTACTTGTCAAAAGTGATGGTGTGTGCTCAATACCCAGGGTGATCTCACATCACCAAATGGCATACAGTAAGACCAAAGAGAAGAGACGCATGCTCCTTCTTCAGAGAGGAAGCCAAAAGGACCAGAGAATGAGAAGAGGCATGAGTAAAGCTGGAAATTGGCGTCTTAAAAGAGTGAAGGCCACACACATCTGCAAAATGGTGTGTAGGTCCCACACCAGTAATGACGGTCTGTTCAGGAACTGGAAGCAGAATAACTGTTTCGGTGTGGTGCTGTCACTGCCTACTACTTTAAAGATGACATTTTATTAAATTGGTGATATACTCTGAGGATTTTTCATGGCAGGAGGTTGCAGGAGCTCAGTCAGTGGTGGGACAGATGTTCATTGTGCAGCATAGGCATACCATAAGAAGCAGTAAATTTTCTACACTGACCAAAGAAGAAGTCTCAACGGGTGCTACAAAAGGCTCATTCTGCTGACTACTGCAGCTGCATCACTGCTCAGAGACCGCTTGCTGCTTCTGTTGTTGCTCTGGATTTGCCATTCTGCAAATACATCCGCAGACACTGCCTCCAAGATGCTACTGTTCCAGAGCTGTTTGTATGGTGGCTGGTTATGGCTGAATTAATTTCACAGCCTTTTAAAATTTATTTTTCAAGTGTTGTGTGATCCTTCTAAAATGTTATGGTAATCTGTTAAATTGCGCTGTACAGTTTGGACTCTGAACTTATTTTGCTAGATGCAATGGTTGTAAGTTTCCAATTAACTAAAAATTAAGCATTAACTGGAATACCTTAATTGAAAAAAAATATAAAAACATTTTAATTAATTTTTACAATTAGAAATTAGTAATTAGTACTAGCAATTAACTCCCATAAAGCTGTACCTTTACTTTCTTTCTAAAGATTTGTAATGCCTAGGGCCTTTCTTAAATCACTCGAGCATGACAATTTCTTTCAGCCACATTAACTTTCCGTAGCGAGTGTTACTGAACTTGTTCAAGCATAATTTGCTTATGTTATGCCTTTTTGCTTACTCACATGACTCAAGTACTTTTCTCTCCACGCAGTGGCATTACTAAGTCCCTGGGTTACAGAGAAACATGCTAGGAATACAGATTATAGCTTTCATATTTTGTTTCTGTGGGCTGGGGGCTGCTATTGCTGCTACTGCATCGAACGAGTGGAAAGTCACTAGTCGAGCATCATCTGTTATCACTGCAACCTGGGTTTTCCAGGGTCTTTGGATGAACTGTGCTGGCAACGCACTGGGTGCATTCCACTGCAGACCTCACCTTACTATCTTCAAAGTAGAAGGTAAGTTAAGTGTAATTTAACTGGAACATACGGAGAGCTATGTGTATTGCAAGATGTGAGCCTGAGGAGAAAAAGATTATTTTGGCTTGTGCAAGAGATTATGATTAAAGCATTGTGATGAAATAAATAAAGGATGTTGTAGGCAGAATATCAGAAGCAACTTTGTCGTAGTGATACGTATTCCAAGAAAGACAGTAAGCTCTACTCTGTGGTTGGTAATATGTGAGAAGTACACTGGACAAAGTTTCAGTAAATATGCTATCAGTAACAAACCACTGTTAGCAGCGAGATGGACTAAAGTGTCTTCCAGCTCTAATTTCCATGCAAAAATAAGCGTCCTGCTTGCTGGATGGGGAGAGGAAGAAAGATAGCAAGGTCAGTGACAGCTCTTGGTACTCTTTTTAGTATCTAAGGAAATTAGGTAGCAAAGCACCGCGTCCATGAATACTGTGCAAATATTCACATGCTGGAAATCAGGTCCACATGTATATACTTGCTGTAACACAGGCTAATATTTTAACTTTAAAGATCAAAGGTGTGCTGTTTCGGAATGTCCATTTTAGTGGAAAGCGTTGGATTTGGAAGCCATCTATCAGAGCGTAAAAACAAATGGACTCTTCTTGCCTTACATCAGGAACGAGTTTTCGCAGAGACAGGGACTAATTAAGAGTCTACTACGCAATGTGTTCTCTGGTTTGCTCTGTGTCTAAAGCAGTACATGCGGAGGTTTGTTTTCTATTTGTTGTTAAGACTTGAGACGGTAGGCAAGAGAGTGATTTTGGTGAAATTGTGCGTAAGCGCTCATGAAAGCAAGGGCAGAGGAACTGCTCTTTCCTGGATCTCGGCAGCGCATGAGCAAGATGGAGTCAGAAGAGTAGAGTAGGAAAAAATGGGCTAGGACACTGGTATTTTAGGGAACCAGAAGAGAAATCCAGGTTAGACAGAACCAGTCTTCCAAAGCATTTATGAGACCAGAAAAAAAAGCACAACTATAAGATATTAACAGCTGGTGGCTGAACGAGATATAGGATGTGCTGTTGCATGGTTGTTACCATGTTAACATAAACAGGGTCATACACAAACACACACCTCACACACAAGTAGAAACACGGAACCGCAGGGATGTTACAGATCCACACCTTTTCTTGCCTCTCATGCCCCTGCCACATCAGACTGCGTGCTGGGACGTATGGATCGACTCCTATCCGTACAGAGGTTTTTGAGATAAAACTCAGCATCGTTTTTGCACATGTTTTATCATGCCCTGCTCCAAACCATCACAAATCGCGTGTGAGGGATGTGAATGGATAAGAAGAGTCTTCTTTTAAAGAATGCTGTTCCTCAAAAAGTGACTTAAAAGGCATAGAATCTCACACATACGCTTTTAAGGCAAATATTGTTTCTTTGAAAATCACCATTTATGCATTATTTCTGCCAAGATTTAAAGAAAAAACCCCAATTCTTCTTCTCAGGCACGTATGGTCAAATTTGTTTAAAGCAATGTAAAGTACTTCAGTAACTAGAAACAACCATTATTGCTATTATCAGTAGTACAAAAGCTGCTTTCAGAATAATCAGCTGTAATCCATTTGCCACTTTGTATTGTTACGATTATTTTGATCACCGGCAGATTGAAACTTGAATAAACCAAATATGCATCATTATGCATGCACTCTTTAACTACATACTTAAGCATCTGAGTAAGACTTTGCTTGTTTGCTCTTTAGAGTAACATAGACAAGAAATTCACAACAAATCGAAGCAGCACGCTCTTGTTAAAGTAAGCGAGTGGCAAGCTGCTGTGCTGACATTTGGGAAGTCTAATTTTAACCTGCCAGTGCACACACCAGCACAGGGTAATGTTACATGCAGCACAAACACGACTGGGAAAGGGTGAGGTATTTTGTTTGGAAAACCTGCTAAACATAAACTCCTGGTAATCCAAGGAAAACAAGAGTTCAACATGGAAAGAGCTTTGCACTCTCACTCTGTCCTACATTGTAAAGCAATAAAACGCTCAGATTAAAGAAGTAATGAACTCCCATCTCTGTCCTCAGAGCCTCAATATATCATCATTATCAGCATGCTGACATCAGGGTGGGCTGGCAATATAACTTTTCCTTCTGCATGTTTATGATTTTATGGAATCTATTCGCAATTTGTCCCACAGCCAGAGATAACTCTGTTACACAAGCTTCTCACTCCATTCCTACTTATCCATCTTACCCCATAGAAAGTATGAGCAGTAAATAACACAAGTCCCTTCTACTCCAAAGCAGATGCATTTGATCATTAAGGTTTTGATTAAAGTTTTGATTGCACTTTTGAGGGCATTCTGCAGGAGAGGCTTCTACATAAGCTCTATGAAGTTCTAAGGTGTGTGTGTGGTGGTGTTCCTATTTAAATCACAGTAAACAAAAAAACAGGCTCCGGGGGTCTTTCTTTTAGCAGGACTACCCTGCGATCATTGGCAGTAGGTAGATATATACCAGAACTACCTTCAGCTAAAGGACTAGTTGTGCTGATAAGAGCACAGCCAAGGCAATAAGAGCTCAGCTTCCTCAACCCAGCCCACCTACAGATCTTGAGAGTTTCGTGTTTCTGGAAGTCTGGGTTAGCACAACACAGTAACAGTGTCCAAGCTAGCTGGGCTGTTGCCAAATGTACGTGTACGTTGACATGTACAGCCACAGTGTTCTCACTGCAGTGACCGAAACATTCAGATGAAAGTCCCGGGAAGACTATGACATATTTACTGTAGCACAAATAGTAATAGGGTTGTAGCTACAGTCATTTAAGGCAACGTTTGTGGGAAGAAGCAATATCTTTTATTAAGGCAACTGCTTTGGGAGAAGTATGCAATGAAGTCAGTCATGAGATCTGACACAAATAGAGCAAGCTTCAAGCTAAATATTATCTGAGAACATTGTCTCTTCAGTGATGATTGGCTATGATTATCAGTGAACCAGAAATTAAAACTAACAGAGACACAATATTGTTTAACAAAACCACTAACCTCTGATTAACGTCTCAGTCCTTATCAACAAGAAGGACCCATAAAGTACTTTCAAAGGGTGGCCCTGGGAACTAAAGCACCTAACTCCACTAGAGTCAAAGCTGTTGCAGACTTCAGAAAGATACTGACTTCTTATAGCCAAGTTTCTTCCCACCCCATCTCCTGCTAACTCCTTAGAGCTCCACAGGCAGCTGTTACCTCTCTTCCCATTCCTCTCATGTTTATCAACCTGAAGTCTTACAGTCCCGGAATTTTCCAGATTTGACAAGAACTAGCTTTAAGTTGCCTACACTAGCACTGCTTAGGTACTTTATTTAAGTACTTTGCTTTTGGTGATGCTAGAGAGAGCTCTTTCATTCACATGAAAAAAGGCAAGCGTAGTTAGCAAACTGAATTGTGCCCACATCCCTTTTCTATGGCACCTCCCTAGTCCATTGGGGCTTCTTCAAATAATTGGTTCCACGTTTACCATGCCTGGCCTACGGTGCTATTTCATGACTCCTCTGCACTCTCTGGTTTTCCATGCTGTGCATTCACAGAGGCGTACCAGAAAGTAGAAGAATTGTGCTTCCTTGAAGCTTTGCTTGTTTGAGCCTCAGATTTTCTGCCGGCATCCCTTAGTCTTGCCAGTGCCTGTTTTGATGGAGCCAGGCAGGGCAAGCAGTGCTATCCTGATGGTAGCCAATATGGAAAGGGCAATGCCCAGGCCTTCTGGGTCACATCGACAGACAGATTCAGAGCTGCCATTTCACGAAGCTGCCGCTGTAATACAGCTCAGAGGTGGAACCACACTGAGCAACCTGATCTAGTTAGCGGTGTCCCTGCTCACTGCAGGGGGGTTGGACTAAATGACCTCTAGGGGTCCCTTCCAACCCAAGACATTCTATGATTCTATGGAAGAAAGCTGAAACGAGGCAACTGCAATCGGCAGCACCTGTACCCAGAGCAGCCTTGAACACCATTTGAGTTCATCTGGGTGTGGAGAGCGATGCCAGCCATGCTTCAGGGTGACAGCTTTCCCAGAGGGCTCAACCTAGCACAGGAAAGGGCTGGCATGAGAGTTTCCCTCACTAGACAGAAACTTACTACTGGGGAAAACCCCCCAGCCACTTGACTACTGCCAGTCGACAGTGGGCCAGACGGATACCTGCGTGGCAGCCAGGGCCAGGCTTCTTCTGAGCCTATGAGGAGGCAACTTAGCGATAAACCCCCCAGCAGCCAGCCCCACGGCTCTGTCCTCATCACGAGTGGGGTTACCTGGGGGGGAGGCTAAGCGAGGGCTGGGGCCAGAGGCTGCGCTCCCGCCCCCTGCTGCCTGCCTGCTCCCCACGTCCTGCCCATTCCCTGCCCGCTCCCCCCCCCCTGCCCACTTCCT